GGCAGAGATCATGCAGATAGTGAGTATGGTAAAACCTCCATCACTTGCTTCTTTCTATATTCAGTGGCACCATGCGTGTGACCTAGCAAATATGCTCTTCACACACACACAAACATAAATATATAAAGCTAATTAGAAGATGTTGGCTCATAAAAACAAAAAATATGATGCCAGGTGGGTGCCGAAAGAGGAAAAGAGGGGAAAGGGTTTTCAAATTCAAGGTGTTTGGGGAGAGGGGTTATCCCACCGACTTCAATGGGTCCTTTCACGATAACCTTACGACACTATTGGAATACGGGCAACAGGTTGAGGTGTGTGGGCCCATGCCCAGCTGGTCGTTCCACCTCGAAGTCCGCCGCCAACCTTTGTTGCATCTGTTTTTGGTTGTTGTCCAAGAAGACGTGTCGCTCGACCTTCGTTGCAACCATTGCCACTACATAGGTATAGTAATTATATTTTTCTTTTTTTTTTCTTCCTCTTTGACAAAAATGATTTCTTGTTTTCTTCCGGTTATATGTGTATGCATTGTGTGCATCTGGCGTTGTTCTTACTATATTAAGAAACTTAACATAAGTTGTATTAAAAATTATACTTATGTTATTACATGGATACTTTTGTTTATTTGTATTTTGAAGTATGATATTTGAGTAAAAATGTATTATTTGTTAAGAGTACTGTATGACTGACTAACCATTTGACAATATAAAAAATTAACCTAACGCTTTGGCTATTTTTGATTGTCTGATTATTAATAATGTAGTTCAGGCTGGGGGGATCACATGATGTGCAATAAGAAGTACCATTTCGTGTTGCCGGCAAAGTCTTGTGGTTCAGCTGCTGATTATTTCAAGTCTAGTGTGGTTCAGTTGCAGGCCCACACCCACACTCTTCACGGCGTCTTTCACTCTAATGGTTTTGGCCATTTACTCTGTATTAACGGTTCATCTGAAACCGGTTCTGACTTGCCCGGCTACCAAATCATGGATTTTTGGGATCGTTTGTGCTCCGCCTTGGGAGCAAGGTTTGTATCCTCCGTTTTTCACCCAAAATAATAATAATAATAATAATAATAATAATAATAATAATAATAATAATAATAATAATAATAATAATGATTAATATTTATGTTGCATTATTTGTTTGCATACTGTCTTGTTGTTTATGACTTTTGTTAGGAAAGTGAGCTTGAAAGACGAGGCAAAAAGGAAAGGCATGGACCTTAGGTTGCTCCACACTGTCGCCTATGGCAAACCGTGGTTTGGAGACTGGGACTATGTGTTTGGCCGGGGAACCTTTGGAATCAATCAAGAGACATACCAAAGTGCAGTAAAGGCCATCCAAAACATTCCCGTTAGCCCGATTGCCACCCATCAACTAATATTCTCGAATACTGAGGTCCAAACAATATTGTATAGGTACCAAATCCTTTCCGGACACTCTTTGGTCACGCTAGGTGACCTATTCCATTTCATGCTCCAACTGAAATTCCGAATTCCAAAAGAAAACATTAATAATGCGATATTCGACTCCCACTACCCGCGGATCATGTCAGACACGTCCTGTAGGTGGTCTCCCAAGCGGGTCGAGATGACCATCCATGTGGTAGTTGAGGCCCTTAAACGGGCTGAGTTTCAATGGGTTTCTAGGCAGCACGTGAGAGATGTTGCGCGAACGTATATTGGCGACACAGGCCTGCTTGATTTTGT